CCCGCCACGCGGCTCCTCCGGCCCTTGTCGCTGGAGCAGCCCCCTGCCGCCTGCCACGCTGCTCCTCCAGCCCTGGCCACTGGAGCAGTCTCCTGCCACACTGCTCCTCTGGCCGCGGCCACAGGAGCAGCCCTTTGCCACCTGCCACTCAGCAACTCTGGCCCTGGAAAGAGCTGTCCAGCTGAGCCCTCACTCGCCCACCACCCCCCTAGCAGCAGCAGCTCACCTTCCACTGGCACGCTGCTGCGTAGCTCTGCTTAAGAGGTGGATGGAGTTGAAATTTTCTCTGCATGCTTGTACAAGCATGCACCTTAGACGGAACTTAGGTGTGGCCCAATGGAGTCCTCCGCAGGCTCAGAAACATCCAAACATAGTGCATTGAGATTTGTGCATCATTAGGTTTATATTTGGCTACACTGAAGCTTATGCTGTGAGTTTACATGCAGTTTGGCTGAGCAGAGGCTAGTTTAACGTGCATTATGAAATTTAATGTGGCTACAGTGGGGCAGTTTTATAACATACAGTTACATATAGTCTAGCTAGGAATGTTGATTCAAAGGCACGCCTTCATGCTTAGTTTATCTATGCTTCTACTACTGGGATTTGCATTTTTCTTATATTACTCCTTTTGTTGTTTTAGGTTCAGGTACTCAGCTGATCACAGCTCCATTGTGCTGTGTAAGAAGCACAGAAGGAGTCAATCTTTAGTTTTCTCCACAAAAATTTTGGAGACAAAATACCTTCACACAGAAGTAGCATTTGTTGGAAATGAGAAAATACACTTTTTTCTGTGCCACTCAGCCTGGTGAATCTACTGCTATTTTTAATATGACAATAAAAGCATTTTTGAGCTAAAAGAGACCCTTCTGATCTTAGAGTCTATGAGACACTGAATGGGCAGACAGTATGAGCTCAATAAAAGCCAAATAAATAAATTTCAATCCCATCCTGCATTACCATTAGGGTTCTCTATAATCATGTATAAAGCAGTAGGCAGCTCCTTGAAATCCATTGGTCTCTCTTCCCTATTTCCACAGCAGCCCGTAATGCAGCTGGCATAGATGACATGGATAGGATTCTTTTTCTGGCTCTTGTAGCATTTGGCACAGCTACAAAAGCACTTGTGGCCCAGTTTCATGGAGTCTCAATGCAAACCACATCATAATCTAAGCTGTATTTAGCTTGCCTAGGGAGTGGAGGAGTGGGGAGAGATCTACCACAGAAATGGGGGAAACCACTTTCCTTTCTTCTTTCTTTGGCTACTGGGAAGGAAGCACTATTTTTTTAACTCTTTCCTGCCCTTCAAACTTTCTGGATACTTTCCTGCATGCTACGATAGCATATTTTCTCTCATCCCTTATTTTGATCTCTCCTATCGCAGCTTGCTGTTTCTGCTAACCAAAGGAGCAAAAGCAGAATAAAACCTGTGTGACTCACAAAGGTTTATTATTTTCTCAACAGAGGCATGAGTGAACCATAAAAGAATTGTCAATTTTGTTCACCTGATGCCTGAGGTCCTGCTCATCAGGGAAGCTTATCTGCAGTGGTCAACAGGAAAAGAAAATTCTCCTCTCTGCCTTTCAACCCCGTTTCAATAAATGTCCGCTCTTATTTCGCTGTTGCGTGATAATGACTTTTATACTGCACTACTACTAAATAAGGTTTGAAAAAACAATATAACTTGACCCCCACCATCTGGAAGACAAAACCCACTAGCCGGGGGTATTGACATGAAAGAGGAGGATGAAGAATATCTGCTGTAAAATTCAGAGGGAAAACTCTGTTGAGTAGCTTAATCACCCAGCCAGTCTCAGGTGCCAGAATGGGGAGGGGCAGGGGGGGCGGAGAGGAGGGGAGATATAATTTCTACTGTGAAGCAGTCTCTGGATCCTCCACTCACACCAGCCTCTGGACAACAGATTTTCTAGTCTTGCTAAAAATGTAGAAAAAAATGAGTTCTCTGTTTCTTCTCTCCTACACAGTGTTACCTAGCTGCTGAGAAGGGATGAGTCTCCACTATTCTGTCCCTCCACCAACCTCCGTTTTGAGTCCTCCTCACCAGCAAATGACTTCCATGACTGTTTTTTGCTGCTCCTAGCTTTTCTAAGAAGTGTCAGAATGTAAATGATCCAATGCAAATGACCCCTGGGCCTTAGGTTTCTCAGCCCCGTTGTAAAACAAGGTAATAAAAAACAGTAGATCATCCCATTTCATTGCCCTAACATACAAACAAGAAGTAGGATGTAGCTACAGATTCTTACCTGGATGTTGTCAAATTTTAGTCCAGGCATGGTGAGATTCTCTTTGTCTATAAAAAGAGTACTATATTGCTGAGTGGCTACCGAAATTAAAACATTTCTAGTTTCCTCGCTGGGAAGCCAGGCATCATTTCTTCTATCTAATTCACTCATATTCAAGGCTGTGGCAAATGGATCATCACTTCCAGCAAAAACAGTGTGGATCTGTGAAAATGGCTTAGGAGATTGTGATATTTCTAAAGATGCAGGGGGACCACCGACTTCAGATCTCCCGGTTCCTATTGAGTAAATAGGGTCAGCAGAGTCATTGGAACTGTCTCCAGCTAAACTAAGAGATGACATTTGTTCAGGGACTGAAGAACCTGCATTAGGGTTACTGACAGAAATAAAAGTGGATGTAGTAAATGAATCAAAAAAATCAGCAGCTAAATTACTAGTGTTAACAGGGTCACCAAAAAATGTGCTTAGACTAGGACTTGGCTGAACCAGCTGCAGATGAGACTTCACTGGAGTCTCATTTACACTACTAAAACTAGGAGACTTCACCATCTGAGGCTCAAAGCCATCATGTATGAACAACTGGGGTTGAACATTTACACTGTTTGCTTGACTAAAAATGGTGCAGACAGGGATAGGTTCAGCTTCAGGAGATAATTTGCTGGCAATGGGTGATGATGTTGGTTCCTCAGATTTGCTTTCATCAATTTTACTTGGTGTTGAGTCACCTGGAACTTCATTCCCCACTTTCAGTTCATCTTTTACTGCTTCTTGAATAAACTCTTCCTTTAAAGATGCTTGATCATCTGTCCCAATATCAGAAATGTCTTTAGGTGTTTCTTCATGTTCAGTTTCACTGTCACTACCAAGAGCTTCTTCCTTACTCACTTCTCCTTCTGGTGTACAAATGTCCTTGACTTCCATTTGTTCCACAATTTCCTGTAGGCAACCAAGTTCACCAGTGTCATCTTCACTATTGTTTGGCGAATCAGAAATAATGACACTTTCCATCATGTGTTCATTCAGTTTATCTATGAAGTTATTAGAATCTTCAGAGACGGTCTCATTCCCTTCAGATTCAAATTCATCTCCACCAAGATCAATGGTTTCCTCATGAAAGAAAAATTCTTCCTGAGCCTTTTGTTGAACTACACTTCCACTTGCCTCCTCATTTGAAACACTCTTCTCAGCCTCCTCTTTGTTACATTCATTATTTTCCATTGTGACTAAAGAGAAAGATATTTCAGAAGTTAATTTTATTGATCAATTTAAATCATTGTAATGAAACTCAGGAGTATTTATTTTAAAGGCAAAGAAGGATTTTCTATATAGTTGTTTGACTATTAGAATAGTTATTTTTGATATTTCATTTTTGGCCAATTATTATGCTGTTGGAACAAAAATATTTTAAGTTTGCCTTCTACTACTATGTGAGTCCCAAAACACAATAATTTCAGGAAAGGAATGGTGTGAAAGTGTGCATGCACACACTTCCATTCAACCACTCCAGCCTCCCCAAAAAGACATTTAGCATCATGCTGCAAATAGGGTTGCCAGCAGTCTGGTATTGTACTGGACAGTCTGTATTTACGAGCTCTGTCCGGTAAAAAAAAAAAAAAAAAAAAAATCAGAAAACACCGGACATATGCAATGTTCAGTATTTTCTGATTTTTATGGCTGCGCACCAGATGGAAGCCTGGCATGGGCTGGGGAGCGGCTGGGAGTCCCAGCTAGGAGGCGGGGCCACGATTGCTGCTGGGAGCCCTCAACTGATTGAGTGTGAGGAGGAGGGGAAGCCTCCTCCTCGCTCATGTGTTGCCGGTAGCCTGCGCGGGACAGGCAGCAAGTGCCCAGGTCAGTCCTGCTCACCCCCCCGTTCCCGGCCAGCCCCCCTGCACCACCTCCCAGCTCTGCTTCCTGCCGGCCCGTTCCTCTTCCTGATCTCCCCTGGCCAGGGCCGCTGCACCTCTCACCGCCCCCGCCAGCTCTGCTTCCCGCCCTCCCCCCGCTGCACCTCACCCGACAGCTGTGCTTCCTGCTCCCTCTTCCTCCCGGCCACCCTTCCAGCCCCTGATTCCCTCCAGCTGTGCTTCCCACCC